GCCTCATTTACTGCAGGCCGCACTCATGTCCAAACCTCTATAGCCATCCTGGCTGCATGTTAGGACCAGTTTATGGTGTCCTCTCCAAGTCATGGGTAAATGCTCCCAGGATGATTAGCTCTCCCTTATCCCACCTGCTATTCTTCCCTCGACCTCCACCCCGGGCCCAATGTCTTCAAGATCCACTCGAACACATTTTGCCCTGGTTCCTGATAATACATATTAGCTTGATTCTGCAATTCCTCCTGTGCCCAAGCTACTTCTTCCCACACAGACGCTGTATTTCTCTCCTCAGTCTGTGTGGAAGCTGTTGAGGCCTGACCTGGTTCTGGGTTTGGAGAATAATAAGGGTATTGGAAGATGGTCTCGAGGAGGTCATGCCTCAGCTTGCAGGCATCTGCCGCACCAGAGACCTTGGCAGCGGCTCCAGGCAAGGGAGAACAGCTGCTTCTGCCGGTCCTGTGTAAGCAGAATCTTGTTCTCAGCATTTTCAGGTTCATCTACACTGTGGTTACTAACTCAGGCCCCAGTATCCCAATCTCTTCTTACCAAGGCTTGGACTTTGATAAAGAATTGTCAAATTCCTTGTCCACATTCCTTGGTTTGTGGCCCCGTCCTCCATCTGCAAAGTCAGCGATGTTACATCTCTCTGACCATCTTTCTATAACTCACATCTCCCTCTGATCACAGCCCAGAAAAGTTCTCGGCTTTTAAGGGCCTGCATGGTTAGCGTGGGCCTATCCAGACCACCTAGCATAATCTCCCCAGCTCAAGGTCCTTAATGACATTTGCTTCTGCCAAGTAAGGTAAACATATTCACAAGTTCTAGACATGGTCATCTTTGGGGATGTGGGGGAGTCGTATGCCTACTACAAACAGCAATGGGGTGATTGCCATGACTGGTGAGTAAGCCAGCCCTCAACCCCTACCCTGAGGGTCTGCAATATAGGGCTATTCTGGGTATCAATCGTCTTAGCCTGGATTCTAAAAAAAAAAAAAGAGAGAGAGAGAGAAAAGAAAAGAAAAAAAAGCCCGAGACAAAAGCTTACATGCAACTCACATATTTGGGAAATGACTCAGGACGCAGGAGACGCACAGGAGTAAAACTGAATAGAGGAAAGCCACATAAGGATGCACTGCAAATTGGCCATGGGCCAACTGGTGGCTGATTCTGTAGCATCTTCTGAGGAAACTTCTGGAACGCTTCTCAGAACTGTCTGCCCAAGGGAGAAAAGGAGGAAACATTTATCCGCCAGCCAAAGGTCCACCATTGGTCAAGGGTGGCCGTGGGAACTTAACTCCTCTGCACTTGCAGCCTGTTGAAATTAGTGCCATGTGAGTTCTGCGGGGACCCCACATCACAGTGAGGCTGAGGCGAAAGGTCTATAGCGGGAATCCAAAGGGAGACGTTATCACATTCTCCGGGGTCCTGGGCAAAGACTGAATGGAGACAGTTGCCACCCTTGTGGCTGGAGTTGAAGGCAAGGCAGAGAGCATCTGAAATGTGTGGAAGGGTTCTGATGCATAGACCAAAGGCTTTAAGGCCTGAATAAACCTGGCACATTTTGAGGAACCGAGAAGACAGGGTAGATGGAAACATTGTAAATCTTGGTGAGTGTGGTACTGAGTTGAAGTAGGCAGAGAACAGATCCTCTAGGAGTTTGCAAGCCTGAGTAAGGAATTTGATAGAGTGAAATGTAAGCACATTTGAAGTAAGCACATATGCAGTCTAGGCAGCCTTCAGGGAGGAAGCAACTCTTGAGGCCCTAAAGATCAAGAGTTTTGCTAAGGTGGGTTGGAGGTGCTTGCTTAATAGCATCTCAAAGACATGGAGGCACAGGGATGCTTTTGTAAAATCAGTCTAACAAAACTTTAATTTTTCCTTTTTAAAATTTTTTAACATTTATTCATTTTTTGAGAGAGCATGAGTGGGGGAGGGGCAGAGAGAGCGGTAGACACAGAATCCGAAGCAGGCTCCAGGCTCTGAACTGACAGCACAGAGCCCGACACGGGGTTCGAACTCACAAACCGTGAGATCATGACCTGAGCTAGTCAGACCCTTAACTGACTGAGCCACCCAGGTGCCCCTCATTTCTTTTTTTTTTTTTTTACTGTAGAGGCTTGCACAATGATGAAACATGGGCAAAGAAAAGTAAAAGATTAATTCCTTTTTACTTCTAAACATTTAAAATAAAAATGCATTATTATTATAAGCCAGAACTCTGATGATCTATAAACTTCTTGAGGATTGCTATTCATAATCTTCAGCACCAAATTACTACCATTATAATAATTTGGGGGAGGGGAATCACAGGACGACTGTTTTCTTTGACCACCAATTTGGAAAAACACAAGGAACCTAGGACTTAATTAAAAGTAGTTGCTGGAAATTTTAAAAGTGTTCGTTTTGATGTCAAGATTACCTCACTTGAAATGATTTCAAGACCCTGTTACATTCATTCCTTGCTCTATTGACGTCTTTAGTGTTTCAGGACATTTCAAACAGGAGGTAAGGGAAGAAGCGTTTCAACTGAATCACAGGAGGATCAAAAGTAGCTGTTTGCATCCGTTTGAGTTTGATCTACCGCTAATCTTAAACTTGCTCATTAGTGTTCATAAAAACAAAACCCCAGAAGGTTAAGAAATTATCACTAAGTATTGAATGTAGACATGACACGATGATATGAGCTGATTGGGATTAGCAAATAATCTGGGTTAATTCCTAATTCATATAATCCTAAGAGTTGATATGGCTCTTAGAGATGATCTGGTCCAGTATTACTGCCAATGTGAAAATTCTCTATAAAACCCCTGGGAGCACCAGCACCACGTTGGAGGCTCCTGCTGGTTGGAAGCAGTTCATTGGCTGTAAAGTTTGATCTTTAATTGGTAACTCTTAATCTTAGGTTGTTTCCGGGAAAACACAGTAACTCTCTTCATAAATATTTACAGCCAAATTTATACATGCTGACCACCCACTTTGTTTAAAAGGTAAAAATAATAAATTATGAGTACAAATTCTTCCACACTAGATGAATAGCTCCTTGAGGACAAGACATTATGCCTTATAACTCTTTAATTCTGACCTAAGCAGAGTGCCTTGCTTATATCAGGTTTTCAAATGTTTGCTGAGTGATGAATGAATAAATTAGTGAATGAATGAAATGAAATGAAACAAACGCCCACATTTAGAAATAGCACCTTGGCTGATTTCTTGCCTAAATTCTTAGTTCAGGAGGGAAAAAAAAGAATACTCAAATATCCGAAATATTTCTCTAAAACTTTATTCAAAGTTATTCACCTCACTGTCGATGAGGTGTACAGTTAATGCTCTGACAATTTCACCAGGCTTGCCCATTGCCGGCAATGGACTTTGAGAAACCCATTTCCTGACACCCAAAAGTTAAATTAACTCTTTTCAAAACATACCAAACTCCCAATACTTGTGAAAGTCTTACATGCACCATTTTCCCATTAATCTTTAAATGTGAACTTACATTATTAATCTACATCAGTAGATGTTAAAATGAAGTCATTTTAACAAATTATGACTGTACAAATCAAAATACCACTAGTTAATATTAGACAAGAGTATTTTACAAACACTACATTACATATTACCTTGCAATCTGAAACATTACAGTTCATATTTGTGTAAGTTTATCTGAGATAACTGAAACTTCACAGAATTTAACAGCAAATAAAGTTTAAAAAATTGAGTTCTGTACATTAGTTCCAACTATCTCTATGTTACAATCTATAAGGCTCATGTCATATTCAGCACCAAGAAGATCTACAAAACGATCTAACCAGTCTTATTCATCCTATGTGATAGTTTTTGTTGGTTTTTTAAGGTGAAAGTCTAAAAAAATGCTTTATAAATCCTACTTCCAGAACTTGAAATGGAATACTCTTTTTGGCTGGTCATACTATATAAAAACGTGGGTTGCAGTTTTTTGTTTTTTTTTTTTGTTTTTCATTGAAAAGATACCCAAAAAAGAAAACAAAAAAAGAAAAAAAAAAGGAATACTTACACCATGAATTTAGGCTGTCAGTCTTTAAGTTGAATTCATAACACTGAAGCATCAGAAGTCACCTAATAATGCCCTGCCTCATCCTTCCATCTTGTTTTAAAAGTTTTAAAGGCAGCCAGAAAGATGTTTTACTTATTCTTCAAAATAAGGTGCAAAGAAGGATCCCAACACTTCCTCATACACAGCTCCACCGACATCTCAGTGTTGTTCAGTATAATCCACCTTGAGCCACTGATCCAGAAGCAGACCCAGAGGTACAGCCACAGCTCCCAGTGCAGCACGCTGTCTATGCCAAACGTCCACTCAACGCTAGCATCTCTCTGTTCACAGAGGTCATTGCAATAACTCATCCCTGCTGGCCTGGATTTAAAGCAACATTCCGGTTTCCAGAACCAGTGCCATATCATCCCAACTCTTCTCCCTCTTCAGGATTTATAAATTATAGAAAAAGAGCAGGTTTGTCTTGCCATTTTTAAACAGGGTTTGTGCATATCACATTTTAAGACCATACGCCCTGAACTAGAAACTTTTTTCAAAAACCACAGGTACTTTCAGTAAGCTTGTTTGTTCAAAGTACAAAATTCTTACGTGTTTAAAAAAATTAAAATCGGAGACCAGTACCTCTGCTTTCTTCGCCCAAAGCGCACAATTCGTCATACCACATTTAAAAACTAAGCTTCATGCATACAAATGGCCAGAGAGGTATGAAGTTTACAGAGCCCTTAAACATCATTCCGGTACATTAAGCATTGGCTAGACCACGACAGGAAGCATGTTAGCAAATTGAGCAAAGAGACTTTCCCAAGAACACGATAGTTTTCCAGGCTCCATGTCAGTCACATAAAAAGTTACATAACATGTAATCCTTTAAAATTGTCCCCAGACATCCCATTCCCAGAACTGTTCCCATACATACCCCCCACCCGAACCCACACTGACTTAAGTCTTCCACTTCACACAAGTATCTTAATGCTCCCCGTTACTAATGACAGCCGCTTCGGGTTCTGCCGCTGTTGCAGGGAGCCTTGGCACTTTCTTAGCAGGACTTGGAATGTGCTAAAATCGAAGGAAAAAGAGTTGTTGACTCTTTGGGGTTTTTTTAGAGACAGAGTGCTAATTAAAATTCTCATTAAAGAAAAACCTGAGAAAGGACAACTTTGGAGAGGTTGATGCTAAACACATATCCTATAGAACCTTTCAGGGAAGGAACTCAATAGCGATTCGTTACCTAATGGTGAAGTAATACACAAATACTCAGAGCGAGGGAGAGAAGACCACCGAGACCTTCCATACACAGTATTCTACTTGCTACTCTTGCGTTGCCAACTCTCACTCTAGCGCCACGACTTGCTACCTAATTTGTGTAAGAGCAAGAAGCGAGCCTATGCATTCATCAAGTTTGTGATGAGCAGATAAAATAAACAACTTCAAGGTCATAAAGTCCTTAGTTTAAAGCGTGGCCTTGACTTGGCAAATCATCTAACTTCTTGCAGCTTCATCTGTAGAATGGGGATAGCATCATTTACTCAAGATGGATTTTGTAAGGACTAAATCAGAAAATGTAAATAGGGACGCCTGGATGGCTTAAGTCGGTTAAGCATCTGACTCTTGATTTTGGCTCAGGTCATGATCTCACAGTTCGTGAGTTCGAGCCCGACATCGGGCACTGCGTTGACAACACAGAGCCTGCTTAGGATTCTCTGTCTCCCTCTCTCTCTGTACCTCCCTGGTCTCTCTCTCTGCTCTTAAAACCAAATAAACATTAAAAAAATAAAATGTAAATGAAGTTCCTAGCATATAATAGGAATTCAAATCATTGCTATTATTGTTGCTGCTTGACAATTTATAGAGATTTGACAATGGCCTGAAGAGACGAGGGGGGCTCCTCTCTCACCAAGACATTACCACAAAATGAGCCTTCTCTCTACATCAGTTTTCCTTTAAATGTTGGTATTCTTAATAAAACCTAGTATTTACTATCCATTTTCAAATTGCTAATAATTTGAGTGCAAAGCACTTCATACAGTAGAAAATGGCACAGCTGGAATCCAACACCAGAGCCCTAGCTCTGAATTACTCTGCTTTCTCGACATTCCTTTAGGTGGCTCAGTCTCGGGTCCCCCGGAGATGTGGGGATGGAAATTTCTTATGCTGTCAAAGGCAGAGAACAAGCACGACGAGCTTTACCCACCTCAGTGGCTGTACTTGAATGCACAAGTCCCACTCCTTCCCCCAGGGTGTCGTCACTGGGAGAGGGGCGCCGGGCATAGGTCCTCCTGTGCTTCTCATCCACTCTGACCAAGTACCATGTTCCTTCAAAGAGTGAATCTACTGAACTCTGGGGAATATAGTTGACTAAAGGAAAGGAAGAGAATATGAAACGTTAGTTATGATATACAATTCACCTGGTAATAAAACTAGGGATAAAAAGTTGCGTATTTCCCCACAATTTTTACTGATACCGGATTAGTATCGAATAAAGCCTAGATATCCTTATCTTACATGTAACATGTTTCATATTATTAGAGCCCTCCAATAGGCTTTTGGGTATAAATGTTTAAACACAATTTGGTATTTTTACCCAAGTGATGAGTGTCCTCTCTGAGCTTCATGTTTTCAGCAAAGACATCTGGTGCCACACAAGTTCTTGAGTCAAGTCTTGATTTAAGATCACATAAACTTGCTGTTATTTTATCAAGAGCAGACCCTAAAACAGTAAACACCAAAATTAAAAGACAAAAGTAGCATGCCCCAAAGCCTGAACAAAATGCTACCAAATGGAAAAACAACTTTTTGTTCCTTGTAGAACTACCTGACATTGTTTAATTGAAAGATATGATAGTATTTGTTTGGTGCAGCCTCCCTATGACATTTGTTTGGTATCAGACAATAGACAAGTCGGGAAATCAGTGGGATCTGAAACTATAAGTAACTTGTCTATGGTCAATACATGATCCAGTCTTAGAGTAATGCCAAGTCTTCCACCAGTTTTTCACCATGTTTTGCTCCTTCCTACTCAGGGAAGGGGCAAAAGTTTCTCAAAATATAAGCCAAAAACTAGAAACCTATAAAAATCAAATATCTTAGTATGAAACCAAACCAAAAAGAAACGGTTTGCTATTACTCGTATGATCAGACTCAAAAGTTGCCTGTAAACAGATATGCATCCCTTTCCCTACCTATATCCCCTGGTTATAAATGCTTTAAAACTGACACAAAGGATAAAAATAGTTACTTGCTGAAGAAGGAAAAGTCAAACACTATGCCATAATAAGATTTTTTTTTTTTTTTTTTTTTTTTTTTTTTTTTTTTAATGGGGCGCCTGGGTGGCTCAGTCGGTTGAGCATCCGACTTCAGGTCAGGTCATGATCTTGAGGTTTGTGAGTTCGAGACCCACATCGGGCTGTCTGCTGTCAGCACGGAGCCGGCTTCTGATCATCTATCCCCCTCTCTCTCTGCACCTCCCCCCTTGAGCTCTCTCTCTCAAAAATAAATAAAACCTCTAAAAATATATATATTTTAAAACTGTTGGGGAGGAGGAAGTATAGTGCAGTGCTGTGTTCTTTCTTTCTTTTTCTTTCTTTATTTTTAGATTGAGAGAGAGAGAGAGAGAACACTTGTGATCAGGGGAGGGCAGAGGGAGAGAGACAGAACCCTAAGCAGGCTACAGGCTCAGTGCTGAGTACAGAGCCCAACATGGGGCTCGATCTCGCAGACTATGAGATCATGACCTGAGCTGAAATCAAGAGATGGTCATTCAACTGACTGAGCCCCTAGGCACCCCACCATAATAAGATTTTTTAAGCTCATTATATATTTTTTCTGACTCAGATGAGAGGGAAAAAGATCTCCCAACTCAGACATAATCCTGCCATTTATTTACCCAGTTAAGGCAGATCATTCAAGAGTAAAACTCTGGCGACGTTGAAAGAAGTGATGAAGATTCAAATGTAATTATCTGCGGGACAGATTCAAGTGCTCACTTGGGAAGCCCGCTGAATGGACCGTGGTACGGCAGCTTCTCGATACACACTTGTTGGGAGTGTTGGCATTTACCTGGTGTGGCATCTTGTGTAACTTTAAGGGAATACATGGTGGCAGCCAGGCCAGAACCGTAAGAGAACACACCGATCCTCTTTCCTGCAAGCTGCTGAGGCGTGTACCTGCGCAGAGGGAAGAAATGTCATGAAAAAGTCCCACTGGTCTAAAACTACAAGGTGTGGGAAGACTGAGTTGGGAGTCAAAATTCATCCTGTAGCCGCAGGAAGCCAACCTAGCGCTTTACAACAAGCACACTGGAAACAAGACTATTCGCCTCTTTGGGAATGATGGGGCTTTATGAAAGTCATCATGTCATAAAATGAGTTACTCTGCCAACCAGGGATTTACAGTTCAACTGCGGGTCAAGAGTAAGAAGACCACGAGAACAGCAGCCAGGAAAGCCAGTATGAAACGAAGTACCCAGGAGTAACTGCAGCCTCGTCCCATTTCTCTTTGGGTCAATGGACAGTAGGTAGAGAGCCTAGCAATAAAATGTCATCCTGTGACCTGCCAACAACATGCCTGCCAGCAGCTTCAGTCTTCGAAATTGAACATCCCCAAATGAGAGGAGTGAAGCAGCCGAAATGGGTACTTACTGTGCCAGAACAGAAGCAAGGGAGCCATACACTGATGATGTGTACATATTTCCATTTTGATTTGACACAAGCAAAGATGCCTTTGTTTTCTGATTAAAGAGTTCAGAACTAGCCTTCATAAATGCCTTTTCCACATCTCTATCAAAGTAGGTATCTTCTAATTTAACATCCCTGAAAGATTAAGAAAAAAGACCATCTTACAATGCTCAAAGACTACATTTTTATTATACTAGTGGACGTAACTAATATTCTAATCGGTGTGTATGATTTAGTTTCCTTATTTATTAAAAGCCAAGTAGCAACATGCTAATGGTTATGGAAGATGTAACAGTTGCACACATACAGTCTTTTTGGTTGAAGTTTTTTATAATCATGTTAAGACAACTTAATTCTAGTGGGATTATAAACTCACTAAAGCTTCGTCGCCACCAAGCTGAATACACTACTCTTTCAAGTCCATAATAATGTCTATTTAGTTAGAAAAGTCACGATATTACAGGAGCCAGGTCTTAAAAAGTTGAGTAGAATTTTATTAGACGTAGAAGGGCCACAGGCAAGAAGGAACAGGCATGGCATTCTAGGGAGCCCCAAGAGTGGGGAAAATGTGGAAGGAGTAGGAAAGGCGACTTTGATAGCGGCAGCGTGTGAGATGGGATGGGGCACAGGGGCTTGAGAGGCAGGGAAAAGATTTCAGAGGCTGTAGTAGTAAATATGAGCACTCATCAGGCTATATTATTATGGTGACAACAGGAACAGATCTAAAAGGAGGAAATCAGAAAATATGAGAAATAACTAAAGAATTCATGTAGGTAAGCCACCACCTGTCTGGGACTCCGTTTCTTCACTAATGACATAGATGGGTTAGACTAGATGACTTTTAAGATCCTTTTGACTCTAAAATTTTCATGTCTATAAAAATAATGATACTCTCACACAAAAGGAAAAAAATCATAACAACTCCTCTTACCCAAAGGCTTCCAGGCCACTATAGGTACTGTTTTTATCTCTGTTCTGGTCATTAAGGAAGTCATTCAGCAACATCCGAGCTAGAGATTTCTGAACCAGCTTACAGTAGGGTGAGTGGAAGATCATGAAACCAAAATCATTCAAGGTAAAATCTCTATCATTTCCCTCTGAAAGAGAAACGCAAAGAAATTATGAAACTCATTTAAACCACTATCTTTGGAAGGCTGATTTTAGAACAAGGCTACGATGTTCTTATATCTTTAAAAAGCAACCAAAAATATACTGTATAATGAAATAATCTCTAATGGCTTAAAATGCAGATCAAAAAGACATCCAGAGATAGAACAATATCCACTACCACATCACTGTTTCCATACTTAAGAGTCTGTAATTAATTTAGTGGGTTGGGGCCAGCTTTTTCTGTTTTGTTTTTTTTTTAACCTTAGAGTATTTTTTTAATGAAAGACAATACAGTAGCAAATAGCAAACTGTATAACTTGTGGCATGGATAAGTAATTTCATGATATTTTTGTTTCCACTTAGCAAGCACAGACAAAGTAGAATGTACTTCTCACTATGGATCCTAATAAAAAGCTAGAAAATCACTGTATTGTTAAATACTGTTAAACAGTATGACATTTTACACAATGCAAGAATGCTTCTTCTCCAGGACCACCATGAATCTTACTATGTTATTCAATCTTACTATGTTATTCAATTTTTAACCCTCTCTCACAACCTCTATAAAAGCAAAGTTAGTTTATGGAAAAAGCCTGATTTATATGATACTGTGTGTTTTAATAGCACTAATTCAAATACTGTACTGTTGAGTATATCTCAAGAAATTTTTTTAGGATTAAAGATAGAGATTAATGAGGACATTGAAAAAGCAAGTATGAATTCACAGGTCAAATGCAAACAACCTATGGGGCGGAGGGAGTCACTTCAGCGATTTATTTTCATTAGAGTTTGCTCTGGATCACAGTTGCAAAGTAAAGCCTTATAAAAGTACCTCTGTCAAAAGATGAACAAAATTCAAGTTTTTTTATTTTGAAAGAGAGAGAGAGAGAGAGACAGACAGACAGACAGCACAAGCAGGGGAGGGGTAGGCCATAGAGGGAGGGAGAGAATCCCAGGCAGGCTCTGTACTGTAAGCTCAGAGCCCAACACAAGGCTCGAACTCATGAACTGTGAGATCCTGACCTGAGCTGAAATCAAGAGTCGGACACTTAATTGCCTGAGCCACCTAGGTGCCCCCAAGTCACTTTCTTTAACCCTAGTTTTAATTTTTTACTGAGGATAAATCTAAGTATTTTTGCACAGACATACCTCATTTCCAAAGCTTACCTGTTTTCCGAAATTACACATTCCCAAAAACTATGGGAAAATGCAATCTGGTAGGTGAGGAAGAAATGGTTAAAGGACAGTCCTACAAAGCAACATCTCACTAAAGATACTTAGTATATCGCACTGCCCTCAACAGATACCAAAACCAAGGAGAATGGATGAAACCCACCTTTCTGCCACTGCGCGCGGATCTTTTTGCGGTAGACAGCATAGCAGCGGTCTAATGCACCGAGGTAGCACTGTATGGAGAGTTTTCCATCTACTATAGGATATTCAGAAAGCATATCGGGCTTGTAAAAGTCATAGGCATGTTGCATATGTGTCCCACGAAGTCCTATTAGAACAAAAAAGGAAGATGATATGTATTTCTGCTTCTTGATGTTTGTATGTTAGTAAGCATATCCCATTATATGGGGACTTTCCTTAATAATCTACTCTTGCCACTTGCAGTATAGAAATCACAAGGTGAGACCAACATGTAATTGAAATGAAACAACAGTATCCATGGATAGGCCTAAGACTTCTTTCACTGCAACATTTTACACAAGCTTCATATGTCTAAATGGGACATCACAATTGCTCTACTGAACTGAAAACAAATTAAACTTGTCACTAATGAGTGACTATGGGCCAGTTGCTCTTTTTGGTTGTTACTTAAACCCATCTTACTTCTCTGTAAAATGAGAATGATGTTACTTACCTCATAAAATCGCTGTAAAGACTAAATACAGTAACACAAATAAAGCACTGAGCAGGCAGTACCCGCATTTAATGAACACTCAGTAAATACTGGCTTCTGTTTCTGTTTTCAACTTTCCTGGCACACTTTGCTAATAAAAAAAGAAATGCTCTCTCAAACACTCACCTCGCTCAAAAATTAAAGGAGCATTTGGCCCAATGAGCAGAGCAACAGCTCCAACTCCCCCTGTAGGTCTAGCATTTCCTGTGGCATAGACAGCGATATCTCCTGCAACCACCAGGGCATACCGTCCTGAAAAATATTTTTGTTAATATATAAGAAGGTGATCACCACTATAAATATCACACATATAAACTGAAGTCTTCTATTTTTCTAGAATGTGCTTTCCTCATCTTTGGCAAAGAAAAAAATATTCCAAATTTTTATAATTTTGTCCTACATGATAAAGATAACAAGTTTATAATTCAGATTAGTTGAAAGAGCTATATTTCTGAGCATATTCAAACAAGCGTAACTGGCAAGATTGCACATGGCATTAATTAAAAGGTCGTTTGGGCCTATGCATCCTCAAGGAGAGTTTCTTTGGAATAACATGTAACATATAACATGTAACATACCATCCCAAGAGCTGGACTCAATCCAGTTAACAGCATTAAAGACAGCAGCCGTGCCTCCATAGCATGCATTAGTTGTATCTATTCCTTCTATATCTGTGTTCCCAGACTCCTCAAACAGCTGCATCAAATTAGTCTTCACGGACTTCGATTTGTCGATGATTGTCTCCGTTCCAACTTCTAAACGCCCAATGCAATCATACGAAAGGCTATTTCTCTCCATAAGATTCTGAACCACAGTCATGCAGAGAGAGTTGATATCTTCTCTATCGGTACAGAAGCCCATTCTGGCCTGGCCCAAGCCAATAGTATACTTTCCAGCATCTACACCATCATACTTTTCCAACTCTGCTTGATCAACATATTGAGAAGGAAAATAGATCTCAAGGGCAACAATTCCCACATCTTTTGGCCAGCAGGCTTCTGCATTCAAAGGAAGTGACCCAGGCATGGTGAAAGAGCTTGAGAAAGAAAAACAGAAAAAAAATGTTGTTTTAGGTTATAAATTCCAGATTGTCAAGTTCAAACTTAAGACATCAACATTAAAAGTTCAACTCTCACCCAAAATGTTAATTTAGGTTCTAAGTTTAGTATATTTTACTTAGGGCAGTCAAGTTTATTTTATAATAATAATAATAATAATAATAATTATTATTATTTTTATTGAAGTATAGCTGACATACAATGTTACATTAGTTTCAGGTGTACAACATAGAGATTCGACAACTCCATGCAATATGCTCTGCTCACAAGTGTAGCTACCATCTGTCACCACACAATGTTATTGCAATACCACTGACTATATTAGGGGCAATTTTAATATGTGAAAGTAGTCATTGTAGTATGAATGGAATACTATTATTTAAAATTACTGTCTTTTACAAAGATTTGCACCTGATTTAAAACTAGACCTTTTCAGGGGTGCCTGGCTGGCTCAGTTGATGGAACGTGTGACTCTTGATCTCGGAGTCATGAGTTTGAGCCCCATGCTGGGCACAGAGATTACTTAAAATAAAATCTTTAAAAAGCAAAACAAACAAAACCCTGGACCTCTTTAGATTTAAGAAATGATTATTAAAGGTAAAGAAAACTCAAATAAGATCCTTCTGTTGTAAAGAACTATAAGATAAAATACAATGACAATTAGTAATATGGTCCACAAATCAGAATTCAAGTACCTAATCCATTCCTGGCCACCCAAGAATGTTTAAATAAGTCAGTCAGTCACTCATCATAGATATATGGATTATTCACAGCTATTGACTTTAAGGGACTTTAAAAATTGTTAAATCAGGCGCGCTTGGGTGGCTCAGTCAGTTAAGCTTCTGAATCTTGATTTCGGCTCAGGTCATGGTTTCACAGTTCATGAATTCGAGCCCTGCACTGGGCTCTGCGCTGCCAGTGTGGAGCCTGCCCGGGATTCTCTCTGCCCCTCCCTGCCTCTAAATAAATAAACAAACAGACAAACAAACTTAAAGAAAAGCCATACTATAGAAGTCTACCAAATCAATCCGTACAAGGCCCCTGTTATTATAAAGAACCCCACTCCCTCACCCAGAACCCATATGATTAAAATTTTAAGCAAAAATAAGTTCCAGGACCCATCACAGGGTGATATGCCAATATCCTATACTTTCTACAGCCAGTATATAGGCAACAAATGATCACAAGGTATCACTTAGCTTCTAAATCAGGGGAAAAAAAAAAACTGATTCAAATTTGAAAACTGGTAATCCATATATTACTTATGTGGCATCTAGATAACACCTCTTAAAACCACCCCTTCTTGGGGCGCCTGGGTGGCTCAGTCGGTTAAGCGGCCGACTTCGGCTCAGGTCACGATCTCGCGGTCCGTGGGTTCGAGCCCCGCGTCAGGCTCTGGGCTGACAGCTCAGAGCCTGGAGCCTGTTTCCGATTCTGTGTCTCCCTCTCTCTGACCCTCCCCCGTTCATGCTCTGTCTCTCTCTGTCTCAAAAATACATAAACGTTAAAAAAAAAAATTTTTTTAAACCACCCCTTCTTTTTTTTAAAAGGGCACTATAGAAAACTGTTGCCACACTATACATACTTTCAGTAGTGCCTAGATTTATTTACTAACAGTAAAATAAATGTGCTAGCCACTCAGCACCATTGCTACGTGCCTGCCTACGGGCAAGTCACATGACCTACCAGAGTCTCAATTTTTTTTAAGAGATTGTATTCATTAAGAGAAGTTATTCTAAATTATTTCTCACAGGGGAGAATTTAATAGAGGGAAATGGTTTCAAATTTGTTGGCTGGGCTAGAGGAGCAAAAAGGGGAAGGAAGGTGGTTATTCAAATCCCCAGAGCTCACACTCCTGCTGAAGCCGCTGGGGCTGTCAGCACTAGCACCTCTGCTACTGAGCTAGAGCCAAGATACCCCTCCCAACCCAACCCTTCCTGCCACCGCCACTGACAACAAGACCGCCCCTTCTTCCCACCTTCCAATCTCTCTTGAGTACTTCCATGGGCAGTCTACCCAGAACCCAGCCGGCACAGGAGTCAGAGGAATATAGTCGTCAGGCTTTGAAGAATGGCACAGCCTGTTAGTTTTAGAGAAAGAACCTTTTCTTTGTTTAAACTTCCACAATGTGGGGAGCCGGGGTGGCTCTCAGTCAGTTGAGCATCCAACTCTTGATTTCAGCTCAGGTCATGATCTCGCGATTGGTGGGTTCGAGTCCTGCACCAGGCTCTGTGCTGACAGCATGGAGCTTGCTTGGGATTCTCTATCTCCCTCTTTCTCTGCCCCTCCCCCGCTCTCTCTCAAAATAAATAAACTTTAAAAAGATAAACTTCTACAACTCAATTTCCTTTTTAGGCATCACACAATTGGAAGGTGCTATTTAGGTGACAGAATTTCAGGTTTTCGTTGACCTAAAGGTCTTAGCTTATGAGAGTTACCTGGGTCCTACTGGTTCACCAACCTTCTACAGCATTGACCAACTCACTACTTTGACTCCTAAACGTGAAAATAAGATCCTATATTTATGTCATTTGTCCCCTGCCACTCTGCAAACTCTGGTATATTATCAGGTATAATGAATTACAAACTACGGACATAGTGAGTTGTTAATTATGGAAATCTTGACAGAATATCTAAAACAGAGAGGTTATCCTTAAATCATGTAATAATCTACTCTGAGCCCATAAGCCATCAAGCCATGAGTATATTAAAACTTAAAAAATAAGCCCCTAGAGATATAATCACAAAATCTAAGTTAAAGGTCTTAAGGGTGGGGCGCCTAGGGGGCTCCGTCAGTTATGTGTCTGACTCTTGATTTCAGCTCAGGTCATGATCACACAGTTGTGGGATCAAGCCCCCCACGTCAGGCTCTGCACTGACAGCACAGAGCCTGTTTGGGATTCTCCCCGCCCCTCCTCCACTCATGCTTACTCTCTAAAAATAAACAAACATTAAAAAAAAAAAAAGGTCTTAAGGGATATCATTGAATCTTCCTTCTAAATACAAGAATCTTATGTATATGTTTTTTTATTCACCTAAACAATGACAACATGTTATATGCCGAACATTTGGGACCAGTTTCATAGGAGATAACCCTTGCCCTTTCAAATAAATATTCACCATCTTGTGTGTAAGATACAAACACCTAATACTAAACAAGTGAAACAGCAGAGACAGATTATGTTATGGAGAACTACCCAGCCCAACCTGGTGGCGGGGCAAGAGTGGGGAGAGAGGCTTCTTGGTTACTGGTGTTGACTTGAGTCTTAGGAATGAGTAAGGAGTAATCAGTAAAGCTCTACAGAAGCAAATGGTGGTAGAAGATTTTCAGCAGGGTGAACAGCATACATAAAGGCACAGAGCAAAGAACTATGAAAAGTTTTACTAATTTACTAAGTGAAATGTGAGGCCCAGGGAGTAGATCAGACAAATAATACGTCAGTAGAACTAGGTCAGGGTCAGGTCATAACAGTTCTGCTATGCTAATGGTAAGGAGCTTCGACTTCATCATAAAGGCATTAAGGTGCCATCAAGGTTTTAAACAGGAATGACCTGGGTCATATTAGTGTTCGGATCAGTGTTTTTCCAACTCTGGAAATCAATTTAGTGGGTGGCAAACAACATTTTTTAAAATGTAATAGTAAAGAACAGAAAATATCAGATTGCATGGCACACAGTAAATTTAAGAATTTTTTCATGAAAATTATGTTTCAATTATTCACACATACCCTGGGTTGCAATATAAAGTATATTTCTTACTGAGGGTCATGGTCAAAAATTTTGAGAGTCAACATTTTGCACAATCACTGGTGCTGTGTAGAGAACAGATGTGAGTTGGGGAGCAGACACAGCAGTCCAGAGAAGACAGGTCATGAACCAGAGCAATTACTACATGATGGGTGAAGAAGGAACAGCTTCAAAAGATATGGAAGCAAAAAACTAGCAGAAATTGTGATTGACTAGAAGTTAAGAAAAGAAGGAAGTGTTTAGGATGGCTCCCAGATTTCTATCCTCAACCGTCATGACTAGACAGAAATTCTGTCAAATTGGCTACATTAACAGAGAGGCATCTGTTTTCTTCTTTTATTCTTTCCCCTCTTCCTTGGAAACCTAGCAGTTTATGATCATCTACACGGCGTTACACTGAAATTGAAATAAAGACATAATGGAACTAAAATGTCACTAGGCAGATTCTCAGTTTATAGTAAAATAACATGAAGTCCTCTGCATAATCCACAGAAAAGAGTTCTATAACTAGTGTTTAAAAACAAAGACCAGTCCATATCCCTAGAAGAGGAACCCCTCCTACATGCTATCCTCGAAGTCACCAGGGGCAGGAGGATCACCCACCTTCCCAGCCTTTCCCACAAGCTGAAACTTTAGGTTCTTTACAACTCTCCAAACTGCTCTAAACGTCCTGAGGACACTGTGATTTCCCTTGCCTGGCCCAACAGCTTGCAATGCTTTTGGAAAGAAAATGGACAAATATATACAATCTTCTGAAGGTATAAACCAGTTTATAAGAAGCCATAATGCAAGGCTTTGATCCCAGAATTAATCCATATTTACCATAATCTGACCAGCTCTGATCAGTTCTTATATTACGGTACTTAAGAAATAAGGTATAACTCTGTTATTCTTAAACCTCCGAGGGGTTAACTAAGTACCTTGTTTCATTTGGGGTAAAAAATGTAGCTTAACTAACCCACTCACATCAGGTTGAAAGTCAATCATGACCCTAATCTTGGTATGGAAAAAGTTTTACAGTATCTGACTCAATCAATATTGCTCATTGTTTGAGGGGTTTTGATGGCCAAGATGTTTATTATATTCCCAATAAAAAGCCATCTAATTTGAAATATTTAGCTTTTGGTTGAAATTAAGGGAGAGTAAGATTAAGTAGGAAAAGAATGGAAAATTAATACAAGGAAGTAATTGTTTCCATGGCATTTCAAACAACAAAAAATATGGTATAATT